CCAACCTTATCCTATTCCGTCTCCGAGTATACACGTAGATATTAGCATCCCTACAGGCTACACGTGGTCGATCCCACAGCGTGGTTCTGTCCGCCCACTCCCGGCCTCGCCGCTGGTTGACGGCGTGCCAGCGAGGGTGGTGGAACTTCGCAGATCTGCCACATGGCCGAACAACGGAGAGAGATGATGGCGAGGAGCGACGCAGTCCGGATCCAAGACTCCCCACACCGACCACGAGTCCTCCTCCGCTTATATTGCCGCAGGCGCGGCTAGGCTCTGCCTCCGGCCACGCCCTCTCATGGAACCTTCCAGCCGGTTCCCAGAGTATCTGGGCCAGCCCCGCCCTTTACCTATGGCCAGATACCTCTCCCTTTGTGATTGGATGTTTATAGTGGTGCCTGTACCAGTGCTTCCCTTTTCCAACCAGTAGATGTCACTATGTCATTACATGATCACCCCCCCCCCACCCCCGTAATGAAAAAAGTAGCCGTCCCGGCTAATATTCAATTAACATGTAAGAGCATGTATGCGCAGAATAAGATTGACAATAATGAGGTATAAAAGCAGAATTCGTGGCGATTTCCTTAAAGGACGTGACAACCCATAGAACAATTTACACCCAATAATGAGGGGACATGGAGAGAAGGGGATATACAAAGGGGGCAAGACAGAGGAAGGGAACAAAACGCAACAACCCTTAGGCATTCCGACATTCCCGAGCAATCCCAGAGCAAGGCTCAACGGAACCGCAAGCATTTGGACAGAGTCCGCGACGCTGGTCCATCAACGGGGACACACCTCCTGCTCCCGCTTGGGCGGCGCACCAACCACCGGATCGTCCGGAGACGCGGGCTGCAACACAGGAGGCACAGGAACAGCAGGCTCGGCAGCAGCAGGCACATCCTTGATCCCGGTGAGTTCCCGAGCCCCGTCCACGGTCACAGGCTCAGATGCTGACGCACGCTCTCTGAACGCACCATCCCCGGCCCGTCGGACACATCAGACACCGGCAGGCCAATCGATGGAGATGAAGAAGCAATTCGTGGAGGGACAAAAGGCTTCAACTGAGAAGGATGGATGATCCAATGGCGACGGCCCACCCGGATTCGCACACATTGTGGCCGTTTAACCTCGACCACTTCCACGGGTCCATGCCAGGGCTTGTGTAATTTAGGGGATGTACCAACCGACACCTGGGGGCATTGTAGCCATGCTTTGTCGCCGACGGACTACGGCATCACGTGATCCCGTTTCCCCGCATTACATTCATTGCGCGCCTGTGCTTTGGCGACGTTAACTCTGGACACCTCTCGAGCCGTAGAAATGCGTTGTAGGGAAATTTGCACATGCTCAGATAATCTGGACTTCCCTTTATCCAATGACGACCCCAATTGGGCATCTATAGGGGGCACATTCTCCCTCCCACACATGAGAAAAAAGGCGAAAACCCCATGGAAGTATGAAGGGCCATCCTATATGCGGCGAGTACACTCGGCACATGCAAATCCCAATCCGTTTGCCCGTTGTCAACCGTCTGACAGAGCATGGAGGTCAAAGTTATATTCAGGCGCTCCACCATCCCATCCGTCTGTGAGTGGTATGGCAACGTCCTAATTTTCCTAGTACCCAAAGCGTCGCAAACCTCACGCAGCAGTTTAGACGAGAAATTGCGCCCTTGGTCAGTAAGCAACTGCTCAGGAGCTCCCTTGTCCATCACATAACCGTACAAAAACCCCCTCCGCAATGGAGGCCGCCAACTGGTCAGGCAGCGGCCAAGCCATAGGCCATTGGGAAAAATATTCAACCCCCACTAAAATAAATGTATTCCTTCTTGGTGTGGCTGGAAAGGGCCCAAGGATATCGAGCGCCACCAATTCACATTCGGGCACACCACAGTCCAACCTTATCCTCTTCCCTCTCCGAGTACACACGTAGATATTAGCACCCCTACAGGCTACACGTTGTCGATCCCACAGCGTGGTTCCATCCTCCCACTCCCGGCCTCGCCGCAGGTTGACGGCGTGCTGGCGAGGGTGGTGGAACTTCGCAGGAGATCTGCCACGTGGCCGAACGACGGAGAGAGATGACGGCGAGCAGCGACGCAGTCTGGACCCAAGGCTCTCCACAGCGACCACAAGTCCTCCTCCGCCTCCACTTATATTGCCGCAGGTGCGGCTAGGCTCCGCCTCCGGCCACGCCCTCTCGTGGAACCTTCTAGCCGGTTCCCGGAGTATCTGGGCCAGCCCCGCCCTTTACCTTTGGCCCAGATACCTCTCCCGTTGTGATTGGATGTTTATAGTGGTGCCTGTACCCGTGCTTCCCATTTCCAACCAGTAGATGTCACTATGTCATTACATATGTATTTGCCCATGCTCTTATCACGTTATTCAATATGGCCTTCAGTGCAACGTGTTTTGACCGCCCAAAGTTAAAACCATTGTGTGTCCATATGTCTGCATATGTGAACATGCGCTTTGCACCTCCAGTTGGCGCGGTTGGCTACGTATGTTGCGAGAAGTCAACATACACAATGCCTTTGCGACATCCCACCAGAACCTGTTAACATCCACAGAAATGAGAAAGCAACATGCGTGTGGCATGGGTTCTGTAGTGATTGTCAAAATTGCGTTTTGTTCTCTGTGGTGTTTAACGACAATGTTGCGTTCCAAGGCGCACAACGAGAATATTGTCACGCGTGCCGATGCAACCTTGCATTGTCACACGCAACAACGTCGTGCCTTTGATTCTTAAAACTGACCCTTTCACCGCTGGTTTTATTATCACCAAGTTCTGGGCTACCATCGATCAATTCGGACCAGTTTTCTACGGGCAAGTCCCAAAGACAGAAGCAGCAACACAACTTCAAACTAAAATGGTGTCAATATAGCAGCTCATCTTCACGCGAGTTGTCAGTTATGAACAGACAAGACGGACACAGCTAAGGTAGTAACTCTTTGGTCACTTGTAGAGAAACATCAGGGGTCGTCATCCTACCGTTCGCAAAGACGCCCTGGTATCGGTGTGAATAGATGAGAATACAAACTCATGTTTCCAAGTTCATAGCACGTACGTATAACGGCGTTTACAGCACTGACACTGAAAAGGATGCAACGATGTACGGAGGTTTTCATACTTGGCAATTGGGAAACAGGAACACGCGGTTCAGAGAACAAATGCAAAAGCGTTGCTGTATACGCACTGTGCCGACCATAACCTGCACCCCGTAACCTTGTCACACTTTTGGCCTCCTTGCCTGGTCAGGTTGCTTTCAGTGTGCAGCAACGACAATGGACAGAATCGCTGAAACGTCTAGTTTGGCGCAGACTCTCACGGCGTGACCCAGAAATGAAAGCGGAATGGGCAGAGCCAAGCCCAGCCGCCTTGTCAGTCATATCCCCCTCCCCGTCCGTGCCTTAGTATAAGGGCGACCTCCAGTCACTCTCTGAAGACAGAACAAGGCAGCTGAGAAATCGTCCAACCGCGTGAGTAATACACAAGTTCGCGTCTTCACGATTTTACATAAACTCACTTAGAGTCAAAGCCTAAGGACCATGGTTTGTACATACATGGCGTATGCTGTATTTATTGTGCTATGCTTTGTAACTGTGTGCACTGTTTAAAACGTGATTTTTGTTGTTTACCCCCATTGTGGCTGATTGCAGTAAATTCGTTTTTAACACGCATCGTTACTTACAGCTCAGGGTGCATGGCCTCTGTAGTTTAAAATTTTATCCAATTCAATTTGTATGAAAAAAATAAGTGTATTAGAGGATCGCAGAGCATGGGCAATTACTGGTGGCGCCGGCTGCTAATCACTGCCTGGCTGCTGCATTCCCGCTAGTCCGTGGTTCCTCAGCCAGTGAGAGGCATTGTGAATGTATGCACAATGCTACCTATGTAATACCAATCATTACAATTATAACCGTGCAAGTACGTGACCCAATTAAATTGTGCGCGGATGAGATGGAAGGAATCATTGTTAATATTGGGGTAAAAAAAACATTTTAAAAATACAGTACAAAACAGATTTTTCATCCCTCTGTAAACAATCCACTGCTGGATGAAAGCCTCTGTATGTAGTGTTGGACATGGGTGTTATTTCATCCAGGCTCACTCTGCAGGCCGGTAAAGGCACCACAGTGGTGAAATGTTAACTACCTCGCCTGGTATACAGGAGGTCGTGGGTATGATCTCGACCCTTACGTCTGCTGCTGCTGTATATTTGGAGTTTTTGTGTCTCTCTCCCCACGGTCGCGTAGATTTTTCTCCGGACCCTCCGGTTTTTTCTCCACGTTTAGAAACGTGTTTAGATTATTTGGCTACTATATATTTCCAGGTGATACGCCACTTCGTTGAGCTATCATTTGTGGCCAGGTCGCTTCTGCAAAAAAAGCTACATAGCTCAGTGGAACTTACCTGCTAAAATAAATAACAAAAATAGCTCAGTTTAGGGTAAGTGACAGAGGGAGGATGCCCAGGACGGGTTTACCTATCGCTCGCCACTGATGTTGGCCGTGGCCAGGGATCAAACTCACGTCGCCGAGGTCATAGCACAGTGCGGCCGCTTAAGTTTCCCACCTAAAAAATAAACCATACCCCGAGAGAATGATTTTGCGATGCGAGTTATGCTTGTGGCTTTGTCACCATCGCAAGATGCTGCAGCGAAGGGGGGGTCTCTGATGCCTCTCGGTCAATGATACAAACACAAAAGTTTCATTCCCAGCCAGCTAATTATTATTTTGTTTTGCCCTGCACTCTTGCATTCTCATCGCATGTATTAATGTATCAATATTTTTTTATGAAACATTTCATATCGATCTTACATTTTATTTAGTTTGGCGCTCTCCCCAGCTGGAAATGAAACTGGTTTGTGACCTTGTCTCTTATCTGACGCCTCCGTGTCCTCCCCCGCAGCCCGGGCTCTCGCTTCCTTAAGCAGAGTGTAATGGAAACCATTTGTTGCAGAAGCAGCAGCAGCAGCAGGAACTGGCTCGTGGCAATAAATGGTATAGCGCCAATGGTAATCATTCATCATCATGATCTCAGTTATCGACATCGTCCTGTTATCTGTGGGTAATCGCGGGTAATAGGATACCCACGGACATTGCTGCGAGTGACATTGTGATTTTACAACTCGTGCGTGACTATTGCTGTCTCCAGAATAACGACATTGCGGGCGATGCTCCAAAGTACTGTGTGATTAATAGGAGTTGCGGATAAGAGGGCTGCATATAAGAGGATGTATACTGTGTGTAGAGCTGTTATGTACTGCATGCAGTGTTTTTGTTTGTTTATATATGTGTGTTGAGGAACGATGCCGGGTGGTGTAAGGGTTGGCACAATGGCCTTGCAATCCAAAGGTCGCTGGGTTCGATCTACCGGCACAGCAGCTGAATCAATTGGGGTCACGTTTCCTAAATGTCCCCGACCGTTACCCACTCAGCACTCGGAACATCCCCCACGCTGTGTTCTATATAAATTGTATCTCTTGTTTCCAAACAGGTCGGAGACCCAGGCTCTGTGGCATGTCTTACACCACAGTCCTGAACGTTGCAGTGATTTTCAGTGCGGCCTGGCAAGGTGAGCCATTCTCGTTTGACCGTCACTACCATTCTCTTCGGGGCCGTACATAAATGACGTCACGCACCTAGGGGGGGGTCAGACATTTGTGACGATGTGTGACAAGGGGGGGGTGTTGAGAAATGTGACGTCACATCAAAATGCGCAACTTTAAATAAATATAGACAACACGTTCTACTTAATTAAATAGACTTTTTAATAAATGTGTTCTCCTACAACATCAGAGTGCGGCGGCACATTAAATACGCACTACAATGACAATAGTTTAAAGCGATTTGAAGCATGTTTTATTTTTGGGGGAGGGGGGGGCAGAGCTTTGTGACGTCATATTTTAGGGGGGGGTCTGACTTTTTGTGACGCCGTGTGACGACGAGAGGGAGGGGGGGGAGTCAAAAATCTCGTGACGTCATTTATGGACGTCCCCCAAGGCGGCGTTAACGCAGCCATTCGTGATGGTGAAGACTGCGGCAAGAGGCAGGTGGCGGCCGAGCGGAACCGTGCAGAGACGCGTCCCGAGGAAGCTGTGGAAGCGTCACGCAGTGGTAGTCGCGGTGCAGCTGCCGCTGTCTGTACACGTCGTGTCGAATGCTCCCGACTGAGACGCAAAAGGTTGTTGGCGAGATGTTAACTACCTCGCCAGGTATGCAGGAGGTCGCCGGTTCGATCCCGACCCTCTGCGGGTTTCCCCTCCACATTTAGAGTCGACACGCGTTTAGAGTCTTTTGGCTTCGATGCATTTCCACGTGATAAGCCACTTTGTTGAGCTATCATTTGTGGCCAGGTCGCTTCTGAAAAAAAAAAGCTCAGCGCGCCTTACCTGGTAAAATACAAAGTTTAGTTTAGTTCTGGAAGTTTATTCTGATACACTGTATGTCGACTCGTGGAGTTGCACAAAAGTGATGGTGTTAAAAAAACACGCGCTCTGTACAGTCTATCGGTATTTTACGCAATTGACTGACAACGCTATTGTAGATACGTTCGTGGGGAGAATTCTCTGCACCCGATCGACTTACAATGGATTATATTTACAATGGATTGTATTTACAATGGATTGTATTTACAATGGATTGTATTGACAATGGATTATATTTACAATGGATTATATTGACAATGGATTATATTTACAATGGATTATATTTACAATGGATTATATTTACAATGGATTATATTTACAATGAATTATATTTACAATGGATTGTATTTACAATGGATTATATTTACAATGGATTGTATTTACAATGGATTATATTTACAATGGATTGTATTTACAATGGATTATATTTACAATGTATTGTATTTACAATGGATTATATTTACAATGGATTATATTTACAATGGATTGCATTGACAATGGATTGTATTTACAATGGATTGTATTTACAATGGATTTTATTTACAACGGATTATATTTACAATGGATTATATTTACAATGGATTGTATTTACAACGAGCTTTACTACCCGGCTTCGCCCGGGACTTGGATTCACGACGCCCGGCCGCCTTTGTCTCCCCAGTGGCGATGTTCACACACCACACCAGTTACTCGTTTGAGGCTGAGTCGACCTAGGGGAGCCCCAGGAATCGGTTCAAATAATCGTCACCGGTGGTGTCCGTGAACGGGAATCGATCTCGGTTCGTAGTGCAGCGTGCTAACCACTACGCATGCGCGGGTGACATGACAGATGTGACGTCACAGGTCACTTGCCGTGCAAAATATATGCATTTTTGCGCCCCCCCCCCCCCCCCAAAAAAAAATTATACAAAAGTTGATTTTTATAATTTTTGCATTGTGTACAGTCTGGAAAGTAACCACATGGCAAATTTCAAGTTTGTTGCATGTCGGGAAGTATGCTAAACATTTTGAACAGACACACATAATCACAACTTTGCCTTTTATATATATCTGGAGATGGATTGTAATTACAATTGATTATAATTTCAATGGATCATAATTACAATGTATTATAATTACAATAGAGTATAATTACTATGTTAGATTTAAAGCTTTCGTGACTGCAAGGATCCATACTCTTTGGTTCTATTCGGTAAAGTCACGTAAAAAACAACAAAAAACAAAAATTAAAAATTCACGACGTTTCGGCCACAACACAAGTGGCCTTCATCAGGTGAATGGACCATGCTGTCACGAGGACAGCGTTGGAGTGAAAATAGCCAAGCCCAGGTCGCGTCCTTTAAGCTGTGTGGGAGGAAGCAAAACGCTTGACAAAGGAATTAGCATAAAAATGAGCACGATGTACGTAGGAGGTGCATGGGCCATGATGGACCAGGAACGGGTGGGGACCATGACGGACCAGCAGCGGAGGGGGGGGGAGTGAGTGAGTCACTCCGCTCACTCACTCCACTCACTCACACCACTCACTCCACTCACTCACTCCACTAACTCCACTCACTCACTCCACTCACTCACACACTCCACTCACTCCATCCACTCACTCCACTCACTCACTCACTCCACTCACTCACTCCACTTACTCACTCACTCCACTCACTCACTCCACTCACTCACTCACTCCACTCACTCCACTCACTAACTCCACTCACTCACTCCACTCACTCACTCCACTCACTCACTCCACTCACTCACTCACTCCACTCACTCACTCACTCCACTCACTCACTCCACCCACTCACTCCACTCACTAACTCCACTCACTCACTCCACTCACTCCACCCACTCACTCCACTCACTAACTCCACTCACTCCACTCACTCACTCCACTCACTCACTCCACTCACTCACTCCACTCACTCCACTCACTCCACTCACTCACTCCACTCACTCACTCACTCCACCCACTCCACTCACTCACTCCACTCACTCACTCACTCCACTCACTCACTCCACCCACTCACTCCACTCACTCACTCCACTCACTCCACTAACTCCACTCACTCACTCCACTCACTCACTCCACTCACTCACACACTCCACTCACTCCATCCACTCACTCCACTCACTCACTCACTCCACTCACTCACTCCACTTACTCACTCCACTCACTCACTCACTCCACTCACTCACTCACTCCACTCACTCCACTCACTAACTCCACTCACTCACTCCACTCACTCACTCCACTCACTCACTCACTCCACTCACTCACTCACTCCACTCACTCACTCCACCCACTCACTCCACTCACTAACTCCACTCACTCACTCCACTCACTCCACCCACTCACTCCACTCACTAACTCCACTCACTCCACTCACTCACTCCACTCACTCACTCACTCCACTCACTCACTCCACTCACTCACTCCACTCACTCACTCACTCCACCCACTCCACTCACTCACTCCACTCACTCACTCACTCCACACACTCACTCACTCACTCCACCCACTCACTCCACTCACTCACTCCACTCACTCCACTAACTCCACTCACTCCACTCACTCACTCCACTCACTCACTCCACCCACTCACTCCACTCACTCCACTCACTCTACTCCCCCCCCCCCCTGCTGCTGGTCGGTCATGGTCCCCGCGGCCAACACCGGTGACGATTATCTGAACAGGTCGTGGTGCCTCACCTAGGTCGACTCAACCTCGAATGAGTACGATGTGTAAACATCGCCACTGGGGAGACAAAGGCGGCCGGACGTGGTGCTGGCCACTGAATCCCTTCGTGTGCCGTACCGGCCTTCATAGGTGCTACTCGTTGACAGCACTTGCCCCAACAGTGTTATGGCTATATGGGAGATGTTTATCTTTGTCAGGAACCTTCTGCCTGCCGCTGTCTGGGAGACTCCAGCTGTCCAGCAATCCCGTGCGTGCCGGGGGCAGCCTCTGGGCCCATTGCGCGGTGGAAATGTGCCCAAACAACTGCCTCAATCACGACTTCTACATTCGCCTCGACGGATTAAGGCTGCAGCCCAGCCAATCCCCCGCCACCACCACTGCCGAGCTCACCTCCAGCAATACGACAACAAACTACGTCACCACCACTGCCACCATAAACACAAACGGCTCCACAAGGATTTCCTCCAGAGGCACCACCACCACGACGACCCCTGATGGTCGTGCGGCTGTCTCGGGGAGGGAATGTCACGTTCTGTCGGCTAATGTGACGGTGGGGTCGGTGAAGCCGCCGCAGGGCCTCGTGCAGTGTGTGGTGCACTGCGACTTACAAGGCTCCGTGGTTGTGGACGAGGCCACAGTCCGCGTGGGCTGTGAGTCTCCGCCTGCATGGCTCACGCGCTCCTTCATGCCCACTCCATCTTCCTACTGGGACATTCTTCATGCCAACTCCATCTTTCTACTGAGACATCGTCCATGTCCACGCCATCATCCTACTGGGACATCGTCCATGTCCACGCCATCATCCTACTGGGAAATCCTTCATACCCACACCATCATCCTACTGGGGCACCCGGTGTGTTGGAGAGCCAAGCCACAACATTTATAATCTGAGTACGACGTTTTGCCAGTAATTACAAGTTGGCTGTGTTGGGTGGTGGCAGGTTTTAACGACACTTTTATATATTTACGCGATCTAACCCAAAACAACTCTAATATGGACTTTTTGTGTTTGTTACGTGAATAAAAAGGGCTTGGAAATCAATTACATGGACTGAATGTTCCAGCCATTATCAATTGATCAATCGATGACGGTCTGCCCGTGCCATGTCTGTCATTGGGTATTTTTCCATCCTTCACTATGCTTGCCACTGCTTACAAATATCCCACTCAAAATTAGGCCGTAAATATTCACCGCTGTACTTCTTTCCTGTATTTCATGGCCCCGAATCAATTGGCAGCAGACCTTTATGTTATCCACACATCCATTCTTCCTATTGTCTGTGCATTTGCGTGGATGAAGAATTTTCCATATGGGTGAACAAACAGGCTCGTTCATCTAAACCATAAAGTGAACAATGCATCTCGCCTATTATTAGTTATTTTCTGGGGAGTGGGGATTCTCATGATGATCTATTGGCAATGCTTTGCTTACCCAGCATCCCTACAACCCTCTTTCGTGGGTGCCACTGGCCGACCTAAGGCTTCTCTCTTTTTTGTAGTTGTACTACACGAGGGGTCCCAACAGCCCTAGACCAGAGCCTCTTAAGCCACTACTTTCAGACGTCTCCTACTCATTGTGCTGCCCATCTCCCAGTGAGCATGGGGTGTTGGATTTGACCATTGAGTATTTTATTTGCCTGTGGTCTGGGAGGATGGGAGTCACCGAGCTATATACGATTGGTGGCTATATAGCTCAGTGAGGCTTACCTGGACATTTTTTTGTTTAGTTCATAGTTTTAGGCTGTCGTGGGTTCACCTCTCTATCAGCAACAGCATTGGTGAATCGGAATGTGTTTATACTGGTGGAATCCGATGAGCTATGAAGCTCTTTGTCACAGACGCCCAGTCGCGGCGGGTAAGAAAGTTAAAACAAACAATACAAAAACACGATCAGAGTGCAAAGTAATTGGTATCTCAATTAGTCCTGGACTTTACCCATGTAAAACCCGTAGTCAATGAGTGGTTCGTGCACTGAATTAACATCACCACTTAGGATACACATGCGAGTGTTGGTTCATGCTGCCAATCACACCGTCCTTTCTTGTAGGCGATAACTCTGACAGTCTATATAGCTCAACCCGACTTAGGAATTCCCTTCCATCGTCTCCTTCCCTGAGCTCTTAATAACCTTACTCAAGTAAATAAACCTGCCGTTTACCGCCGGGGCCCCTGTGCCGAGCAATGGGTCTCTTTGTCATTGACGAGTGCAGATATCCCGGACGCCCCGTCGCAGCCGCGGTGTGAGGTCCGCGGGGGAGAGATGGGCGCGCTGTCGTGCAGCTGGAAGCTGGGACATGACTCGCTGCTCAAGACCGACTCCCAGCTGTGCTACCAAGAGTGAGCCACGTCAGGCGCACTTCAACCTGGTCATGCACGACACTCAGGGGTTTTGGAGGGGACACCCATAGGGAAATGTCTCCACCTCTGTGTACATAATTAATATCTGTTTCTCTCCCATTAATGCTCTCTCGGCCACCGACATAAATGTTAGGGGAGGCCAGGCAGCCGCAAACACTCCCAGGTAGTTGGCTGGCTTAATGGTTGATGTGTCCTCCGGCAAGTCGGCTCAAACAGCACGTTTACATCAAAGCCATCATTGAGTCCCAACTACAGCATTATGCATTGTTTTTAAAGGACATCTACTCAACTGATGATGCACTCTTTGTAAAAACCGGTGCAGAGTTTGCTTGTGCTTTATCGGTGCTGTTGAAATTATCACTCCCTGGAGGCTGTTGGACCAATGGGTTGTGTAAGAAATACTTTTAATTGTTTTGTGGAGAAACAAGCGACACAAAGGAGACACATTGCTTATCTGTTTAACGTTTAGGATTTCGTGAGCAATATTATCCATAAGAGGCTTTTTTTGGGGTTAGATCGAGTAAATATAAATGTGTCGGGTGGTGGCGGGTTTAACGACACATTTATATTTACATGATTTCACCCAAAAACCCTCAATTATGGGTCTTGTTCACCTGTTCTGTTGGTGTTTTAGGGTTGTGCTTAAGAGCACATTTACGGCACTGCCAAAGTTCAGATATTTAAAGTAACCACCGTCAGTCAAGTTACTTTCCCAAAAAAATTGGTCGTTTTTAACCCGCGATTATATTTCACTGTGCCATGAGATGCAGAATCTACACGGAAACCCCACGTGTTAGATTGGCTGTGGCTGCTGAAAAAACCTTTGTGGCCTTTTTATTCTTTCCACAGCAAGAGCCTTACTTGACAATTGAACCAATATTTTTGGTTAATTTCACAGATGGAATGTTGCCAAATTAAGCCACTGTGGGCATCAGCTGCTTTATAACGACACTGATTTGTTTTGCTAGAGCAACGTTTACGCGGGCATCTACGAGCACTTTTACACTTCACCAACGACAAGCAACTTAACGTCAATTCTCATCTCAAACATTTTCAAGTTCACCCCCAGTGTCAGCCGTTCCTGTGGGCACAAGGTGACTCAATAAAGGTCCTGCAATCGGGCTTTAGTCTGCCAGTAGGGGGAAAGGCTTGCAAAATGTACATTCTAATTGGCGTTGTAACCTTTATCCTGGGCTCTATTATATCAGCTGAGTGATGTTCTGCGCATACAATTCATAGAGTTATTCTAATTAGGGAGGAGATATCCATTCTGGTTAGACCTTAATACAAAAGTATTTACACTCTTTGATACTGGGACACATTTACATCCTTGTTCGATTTAAAACTAAACTTTCCGGATTAGAAACCTCTTCCAACATATCAGTAATTTAGTGATGGCTGGTCTGTAGGGGCATTGGGGCAGCACCCCATTTCACAAAAACATGCTTTAAAATACGTTTAATCAAACAGAATGTTTAACAAAAAAATTAATGCCAATAGGAATCGATTCAGATAGAATCGATAAAAAATATAAAAATTAGCCGTCCTGTTTGTCTGCCCCAATGAGATGCATCTTGCTGCATCTCATTGGCTGAACGATACCACTCCCACCGGGCACTGCCACCTGTTCAAAATAAATTAAGAGAACAGGGCGACAAGAATTCCTCCACTGGCCAATAACAAGGCGCTGTTCCTAGGACATTTGCATCGGGCCAGCACCGTTGGCTACTTCCGCCCCCGCTGGCACCTCCGCACCGGAAATATGACCACACTGGCTGCCACATTAGTTTGATGTCCTTCCCCCGCACATCCAATTAGCATGGTTGGCTACGTACGGTGCGAAAGAAATTCAACATACAATAAACAAGTCACATTGGCTCTATCACCGGCCGCCCCACCCATAAAATTCGTTTTATTTTCAACTGCAAACAAATTCTGTTCACAAAATACGGGCAGACTGTTGAGCACTGAAATCACATTGGCAGTGTTTTGAACTTTGGTGTGTGGCTTTCAATGTCTGTGCACCGCAGGGTTGGCAAAGACAAAATCAAGATGTGCGAACGCGTGGAGGGAGCACAAACTGTTGACCTCCCCGGATCCAAGTTAGATTTCCACAGACACTGGGAGTTGTGGGTGGAAGTTCATAACGCGCTTGGACAATCGCGCTCGCCCCCATTCTCTTTGATGCCCAACGACTTCGGTACGTGTCACATCAACCCGACACGGCAGGGCCTTACGCGATCGCACGCATTCGCTCATCGGTCGGTAATTCCCAGTTACGAGGCTGCAGTCGAGCTGTCTTCGTGGCATAATGCAGGGCGACCAGCAGAACCGACGGCCCCTTCCCTCCTTAACGTGGCCGGCGTTGTCGGCAGGATGGACCAAGGAGGGGGCATGCGTGCAGAGCCACCACGGTCGAGGGCAGGGGTGGGGAAGTCCAACCCGCGGGTCGTATTAGGCCCGCGAAATCATTTGGTCTGGCCCTACCAGGCAACCGCATACGGGACTCGAAATTCAATAAATCTAGGAGCAAACCTGGAAAAGCAGTTGCGAGTAGCGACATCATCAATACCAGCTAACATCACCACACGCCTCGCCAAAGAGAAGCAGTTCCAGCCATTACATTAGGGGTGAGTTAATACAATGTTTGACCAAATACAACAGGCTAATTTTTAAGTTGATAATTTTGTATGGCCCGCGAATGATGTTCTAAATATCCTAATGGACCTTGGCAGAAAAAAGGTTCCCCACCCCTGGTCTAGGGGATTGCGAATGTTGTCTGTCGTGATGATCCCTAGGCAGCGAGAAATGGTGCAGAACAGTGGGTGAACGCCGCCCGCCCCCAAAGCTTATCCAAACGATAAGCCACTTTGCTGAGCTGTCATTTGTGGCCAGGTCGCTTCTGAAAAATAAGTTAATACCTCAGTGGGCTTTGTCTGGTAGGATGTTTTTTCTTTGTTTGTCTTTAGGTGATTTGTTTATCTTGTACTTTGCACTACTATCGTGTTTTTGTACTGTTGTTATAACGTTCTTACCCGCCCCTACTGGACATCTGTGAAAAATATATTTATAGCTAATTGGATTCTAGTTTGTTCAGCGGCTAAATATTAACGTTGTCATTGGAGCAGCGTGAAAATAAGAGAAATGCCAATTCTTGGCTTCTCTGGGTCAAACCCGGACAAGTGGCAACCTTAGCTTGAATCCCAGGATCAACTCTATGCAAGACCAGGGTTTTGTGTGTAATGGGTTGGTGGTATCAGCTGAGTTACCGTAGATATTTAAAAAAATATATTAATTCCGACTTTATACGACATGAGCACGTTTACATTTGAGTGATATGTTTGTCCGTTTTGTGCGCAGTTACAATTGAGCCGCCAGCTCTACAGATTGTGAAGTACACTCACATCGCCGACCACATCAGCGTCAAGTGGACAGCACAGACGGGCATAAGCATCGAATACAAATGTGATCTGCGTCTGGCTTACGGCAATGAAGAGGCCTGGAGAACGGTAACCATAGGACCAGTGTGACGGTACAACTGTGGGGAGCGGTAGGATAGCTGTTGGCGCACTGCGCTACGAACCTGACGATCCGAGTTAGATTTCCGCTCACGGTCAAGACCAATGACGATATCTGAACTGCTCCTGGGCCTCCCCGAGGGTGATTCGACCTGCTGTGGTGAATAAACATCACCACTGGGGAGACAAAGGCAGCCGGGCATGGTGCTGGCCACCAACCCCCCCTCGTGTGCGGCTCCAGCCTTCATAGGTGCTCGCTAACAGCACTTGCCCCAACAGTCTATTAAGGCAATACGGGGGATCATTTCTTTGTGTGTGCCTGGGTATGGTGGTGTATGTTGCTATAACGCTGCCGTAATCAACAATTAAACCAACAAACTGGCCGTTGGGTGATATGGGGTACTGCGGTGGCGAGATGTTAATTCCCTCGCCTGGTATGCAGGAGATCGTGGATTTGATCCCGACCCCGATGCCTGTATATTTGGAGTTTGCGTGTCTCTCTCCCCGTGATCGTGTGGATTTACCTCCAGGTCCTCCGGTCCTTCCCTCCACATTTAGAAAAATGTGTTTAGGGTATTTGGCTGCTATACATTTCCACATGATAAGCCACTTCGTCGAACTATCATTTGTGGGCAGGTCGCTTCTAAAAAAAGAACTACATAGCTCAGTGGGCCTTACCGGGGAAAATAAAAAAAGTTATTTACAGTGAGGGAAAAAAGTATTTGATCCTCTGCTGATTTTGTACGTTTGCCCACTGACAAAGAAATGATCAGTCTATAATTTTAATGGTAGGTTTATTTGAACAGTGACAGACACAATAACAACAACAAAATCCAGAAAAACGCATGTCAAAAATGTTATAAATTGATTTGCATTTTAATGAGAGAAATAAGTATTTGACCCCTCTGCAAAACATGACTTAGTACTTGTTGGCAAAACCCTTGTTGGCAATCACAGAGGTCAGACGTTTCTTGTTGTTGGCCACCAGGTTTGCACACATCTCAGGAGGGATTTTGTCCCACTCCTCTTTGCAGATCTTCTCCAAGTCATTAAGGTTTCGAGGCTGACGTTTGGCAACTCGAACCTTCAGTTCCCTCCACAGATTTTTTATGGGATTAAGGTCTGGAGACTGGCTAGGCCACTCTAGGACCTTAATGTGCTTCTTCTTAAGCCACTCCTTTGTTGCCTTGGCCGTGTGTTTTGGGTCATTGTCATGCTGGAATACCCATCCACGACCCATTTTCAATGCCCTGGCTGAGGGAAGGAGGTTCTCACCCAAGATTTGACAGTACATGGCCCCGTCCATCGTCCCTTTGATGCGGTGAAGTTGTCCTGTCCCCTTAGCAGAAAAACACCCCCAAAGCATAATGTTTCCACCTCCATGTTTGACAGTGGGGATGGTGTTCTTGGGGTCATTGGCAGCATTCCTCCTCCTCCAAACACGGCGAGTTGGGTTGATGCCAAAGAGCTCCATTTTGGTCTCATCTGACCACAACACTTTCACCCAGTTGTCCTCTGAATCATTCAGATGTTCATTGGCAAACTTCAGACGGGCATGTATATGTGCTTTCTTGAGCAGGGGTACTTGCGGGCGCTGCAGGATTTCAGTCCTTCACGGCGTAGTGTGTTACCAATTGTTTTCTTGGTGACTATGGTCCCAGCTGCCTTGAGATCATTGACAAGATCCTCCCGTGTAGTTCTGGGCTGATTCCTCACCGTTCTCATAATCATTGCAACTCCACGAGGTGAGATCTTGCATGGAGCCCCAGGCCGAGGGAGATTGACAGTTATTTTGTGTTTCTTCCATTTGCGAATAATCACACCAACTGTTGTCACCTTCTCAACAAGCTGCTTGGCAATGGTCTTGTAGCCCATTCCAGCCTTGTGTAGGTCTACAATCTTGTCCCTGACATCCTTGGAGAGCTCTTTGGTCTTGGCCATGGTGGAGAGTTTGGAATCTGATTGATTGATTGATAGCTTCTGTGGACAGGTGTCTTTTATACAGGTAACAAGCTGAGATTAGGGAGCACTCCCTTTAAGAGTGTGCTCCTAATCTCACCTCGTTACCTGTATAAAAGACACCTGGGAGCCAGAAATCTTTCTGATTGAGAGGGGGTCAAATACTTATTTCCCTCAATAAAATGCAAATCAATTTATAATATTTTTGACATGCGTTTTTCTGGATTTTGTTGTTATTCTGTCTCTCACTGTTCCTATAAACCTACCATTAAAATTATAGACTGATCATTTCTTTGTCAGTGGGCAAACGTACAAAATCAGCAGGGGATCAAATACTTTTTCCCTCACTCTATGTTGGCCATGACCAAATTCAACCACTCCTTTTCTCGATTTGTTGGATGACCGTTGGTTTTTCGCACTTTGTGAGCCCTTGCGCTACCCGTCCCCAATGTACACGGGAACGCCTCGGGATTCGCGCTAACGTTGGCACCCCTCTCCACCGCTCGCCATTACGAGGCAGGTGTTCAACAGGAGCTTGCGGTCACAAATATGGGACATTCACGGCCTCGCGCCGGATACCGCCTACTGCGTGCGCATACGCTGCTCGCAGCCAGTGGCTAAGGCGCCGAAGGGGACCTGGGGACAAAGGAAGTGCTTCTCTACGCCGCCAGCTCGTGAGGACGCACACCCTCTCACCCGCGCGGCCTCTCACCTCGCGCCCTCTCAATGCACACCGTGCACCTGCATAGGCAGGGGTCGGCAACCTGTGGCTCTAGAGCCGTGTGCGGCTCTTTAAAAGGACTGCTTCGTGATGTTATTTATCAAGGGCCATCGTCTCGCATTCACATGCATTGCGGCTCTTGAAATATTCCGTTTTTTTACCGAATTAAAAAAAAAGGTATTTTTATTTTAGTTGCTGACCTCTGTATGTGGGGATCGCTGTACAAAATCATCGTTAACCTTTAAAAGATCTGTTCAGTAAGAATGTAATGGTGATTATGATGCAGATGATCACATTGACGATGATGACGATGAGTATGCTTGTGATTCATTTCGCGGCACAGAACCATTGGTTGGCCCAGAGGTGTGGAAGATCCTCAGCCCAGGCCCCTCGGATGAAGTCTTCAACCTCACCCTGCTGTGGAAGGTGACTTGCCTAGGGCTGCCACCTGTCCATGTTTGACCTGGGCACTCCGGGACTTGGCATCAGCATGCTGGTGGTATGAATAGATTTGTACTGGTATCTGATACCGGCATTGTGTTGAGCTTTATTGCAGTTTATTGCTCAGTTTCGATAGGCCTAGGCTGACTGCGAGGTCTTGACTGCCCCTATGGTAGCCTGTGCTCAGCAACTAAACCTGTATTCCACAGCCTCTGAGTGCCAAGGAGGCGCGGGGCCCAGTGACATCGTACCACGTGATGGACCGAGTGAACGGGGAGACCCAAGCAAAGGTGGTGCAACATGGGCTGGAGTCGCAGCCTCTGTACTCACTACAGCTGGGAAAGGTGCAGGTCCCTTCAGAGTGGTGCGTGCAAGCGAACAACCTGGCCGGGTCGTCACCCTGCAGTTGGCTACGCCTGTCCGCCCGAGGTTTGTTAGTTCTGTTACGTATGCAGTGAGTTCAACCAAGTCGCAGACATACTCTTGGAGGCAACACATTTATTTAACACCAACATATGGGGTAACTGCCCCTTAACAGAATAACAACCTATGGTGGTGACCACCAGGCTAACTACACTAATTACACCATAACTAGCTACTACGGACCGAGACCACAGCTCAGGTCCAGGTCCACGTGTTGGAGACTTGGTAGAACGTAGGACGTAGACGAAGGCTTGGTCAAGATGAACAACAACGCCGGTCCCTCTGGGGGACCCGGCTTATATTCTCTGCGGCGTGGCTGGCTCCGCCCTTGGCCACGACCACCTTCCAGAATCCTCGAGCAGGATCTGGACCCAGATCACGTGACCACCCCTAGTCCCCACATGGGGCCCCTTTGTAGACTTAACTGGTCACGTGTCCTCTCGGGTCAACCAGAGTGCCATGGCCTTTAGTAACCCTGGCACACCCACACCCTATCCTGTAGTGCTGGCATTGCACGCCAAGCGTGGTGCCATCCAGTGCTATCAACCAGCACTCACCGAGCCCCTCTAGGGCCGGTACTACACCCACATCATAGTGGTGTTTGTGATGTCGTTACATCGCACGCCGTGCCCCTCAAGGTGCCGGCACAGCACAGTGACATCCCACGATGTCACTACACGTACACGAGGAATGAACAGAGCACGACGTTCACGATTGGAGGTGGTCAAATGTAAATGTGCAGCACTGCAGTGTCTTGCTTGTGCCACTGCTGGCAGGAGACAGCCTCCACTACAGGCAGCTCTAGAGATGCGCCTCCAGGAAAATTCTATGCGGCTCCTCTTATCTGAGACATGGGGACCAGCCGAGTGTGTTGTACCTTACCATCATCAACTGGTATCACTATCATCAACATCATTATCAGGATTATTAGCGTGACCATGATATTTACCATTGTCATCATCACCAACAACAACCGCCATTCACCACTAAGTGGCAGTGATGTCACCACGACGCTTGGCCAGGCTATGTGCACATCATCATCACCACCACTACTACGACCAACATCTTCACCCACCACCACCGCAACTACCATCATCATTATCACCACCACCACGACTACCATCATACACCACCACAACTATCTGTGGTAATCCTGGAAAGTCATTGGTATTCTCATTTTTAAGAGACCTATTAAGATCCAATATAACATGCACCTTCCAGACTATTAAAGCCTTCAATAACCTCCCTGCACACCATGTATACCTACAGATGAGAAACCCTATGGATGGCACATTCACATGCTAGTGAAAATCATTGAAAAGTAAAACCATGTTCTGAATTTATGGTCTTCCGCTTGGCCACTGGAACCAAGTTCTGTGTCTGCCCAGGCTTAGCCAACGCACCCCAAAAGGAACACATTTGTATGATTATCTCACCATGCCACTGGCTGTCTCATAGATCGATAACGTTTGATTCTCCATAGTGCTGCCTGCGCCCTTCAACGTAGAGGCCCACGAAGACAAGGGCAGTGGCGGTGGTGGCATGGCCGTGAGATGGGCCCCGCCAAAGCCACGTGGCCATGAGAGGCGACGCGCGGTGGAGGGATACGTGGTGGAGTGGGTCGTCGCTGACGACGATCAGACGACTCCGTCCATGCATTGGCACTGCGTCCCCGCCAACACCACCCATGTGGTCCTCTCCGGTATGCGGTCGTACGTGCGGGCGAGTGTGCCCTTGTTCGTGCTCGGATTTTCCTCGTCATTTACACCGAACACGTCCAATATTGCTCAGTGCATGGCTTCCCAAACTCCCGGACGTGTGCTCGACCAAGAGCCACCTTGATAAACCTGAGCAGAAATTACGACGAATGCCATCAACATGGCGACTGAACATCGACCATCCATCTCCCGGTCTCCAGGGCAACAACACAAGCCATATCAATGGTCAAAATACTTAACATTAAACACCACCCTGCCACCCACTGATGATGATGTATTTGATCATGATGATGATGTATTTCATGATGTGTGGTTGCAGAACACATGAAGCCTCTTATTTGCTACAACATCTCTGTGGTCGCCATCTACGAGACGGGAGAAGGAAAGTCAGGCGTGGTGCAGGCCTACGCTCAGCAGGGCGGTGTGTCCCTCTCTCACTCTTCTCTCGACTCTTCACTTTCATGACAGCAAACCGTTGCCCATCGTGGGTCTGGTTATGTACTTTAAAATCGCCGCAATCGGTAAATCCGCGAACCGCAAACTAAAAGGCAAATGTGAAAACTAGGAATTGATTCACGGTTCATAATAGGACACCAACCCCTCTTTTTGTTTTATGTTACCCTACATCATCAACCCAAACGTTATACAGAAAGTATTTTGGATGTAATATGAAGCAATTGGCGGGACCCCGGGGTCCCATCACTGCCCCGGGGTGGGAAAAACTGCGTAGCGACACGAGTCTTGCCTTACCGACAACAAAACTAGTGTCAATCGATTGGCTTCGTCGAGAGCTACTCAGGGCACTAAGTTTCGTAAATAGTTGAAAAATTACATAAACACGTTCAATTCACTGCGGGGGCGGGCTCGCCTTGTCAAAGAAGCTGAGGATCGATGGCTGACCGGAGGGCGTTGTCGCCGGGCGCGACTGCAGCGGACGCCCCGGGGCTTGCATTTGGCCGGTGGGGTGGCGCCCATCGTGTTGATCGCCGCCTGCTGGCGCTTGTTGGCACGAGTCTGGGCGGGCGGCGCGTTGCTGCCGGGATCACGAGTGGGAGGACTGAAAAATAATAATTATTGACCTGATTTTTGCGGGACCCCGGGGTCCCGCCAAATGATTCATTTGATTAATAATTTCTAGTATCAAATAAAACCTTGTACGGTAAATATATAGAATGAAAACAATTAATGAAGTGTACAATACTGTACACTGCAAGAAGGAAAATGGTGTGGATGAAGCTCACTGCATCCTCATTGGAGGTTGGGAGCGCCGCTTGACCTGAGACCCAAGATGGGCCGCTTGGGAGACAAGTTGGAGACAAGACGGCACCGCGCGGGTGTTCTTACGCTGCAGCAGCAGCATCATCGCGGGCAGTGCAGTTACGATGCGTACAGGATCTCGCGGTCAACCGCGAATGGTCGAGCCACAGGGGCACGATCAGCAAGCTGTAACTCAATACATTTGGCGCAAAACCGTGACAGCTAAACCCATGAGAGGGAAGCGTTTGCTGTATTCCAACGAGGAGGTGCATAAGACTGTAGCCTCTCACCAAGTGGGTGGTGAGACGTGAAGTCCTTCGCCTGGTATACAGGACGTCGTGGGTTCGATCCCGACCCTGACGCCTGTATATTTAGAATTTGCATGTTCTCCCCATGGTCACGTGGATATTTCTCCGGGTCCTCTGGTTTTCCCTCCGCATATTTACAAACATGCATTTATAATATTTGGCTGCCAATAATTCGCACATGATAAGTTGAGCTATCATTTGTGGCCAGGTCGCTTCTGAAAAAGAGCTACATAGCTCAGTGGGCCTTACCTGGTAAAATAAAAAAATTGTAATCGTAAGTTAGTAAGTCAAAGGGGCTTGTCTGTGGTCTGAGGCTATCTCAGTTTACAGTGATACTCCTGCCACAATTATTTTCCCACAGACAGCAGAAATCGTAGAAACATCACTTGCTGATTCGTTTTTTCCTTTAATCAGCCATATTTAACAGGATTTTAGAGGTAAAAAAATCCACATACAAAAAAAAACACTTGAGAATAACAAGTTCCACGCCAAGAAACATCGGAAACCAAATGCGTTCGGTGTCGGAAGATGTGTCGTAAATCGAGTTCCGCGTCGTAAATCGATCCACGGAGGCGTTATATAAACATCGTAAATGTGGATCGTAGTAAATTTGATCGTTGTAAACTGGTGATCCCCTGTATTTTTTTAATTTAGAGAACAGGATGAAACTCCCCCCTCCTCGAGACCCCTAAAATTGGTACAGTAGTGCCTCGATTAAAGTTTTTAATTTGTTCCACGAAAACTACTGTTTACCAAAATGACTGTTAATCGAATATAGGAATTACATGTTAAAAGCATTCATCCGTAATGTATAAACAGAGCCAGTCGAGGTCTAAACGCTGATGAATTGGCGTCGCCGATTGGCTGATGCATACCTCAGCCAACTTACGAGCGCTTGGATTGGCCGAAATTGGCGCCCAAGTACACAACGTAAACACGTTACCGTTACATCACAATGTGAACATTAGTCGAAATCATGGGGGTCCTATATAAGGCAAAACGTTAACCGAAAAAAAAACATTCACCGATGTCACTTTAACCGAGGGACTACTGTAGTTTGTTGATATTTACAATAGGAAATGCATTGAATGTTGTTTTTATATGAATGTAGAGCTCGATTCAAAATTCTTGAAATTTCCGGACGTCCCCCCCCACCTCCCACTCCCTAGGGAAGTGTCTAGATCAGCCTCTGAATAGTGGATGAAAGGCACTGCATTGAATAACCAGTCACCTGTTGATCACGTCTTGTGGAGATATGTCTTCATGAAATGCGTGCACAGTCCAGGGTTATCCTACTTATAAGATGCCGCTGAAAGTAAGACGCAACGCAGTGTTTAAAAGCAAATGTTTAATTACAAAAACTAATGTTTTTCACAATGATGTAGATTTGGTGATTAATTAGTGGCGAAACGTCGTACTCGAATTGTAAATGTTGTGGATTTACTCTCCAACACACCGGTGTGCTGTACTAGTAACTAATTTGCATGTTCCGTTTACGTGACAAAACTTACTAATTGGCTGTGTCGGGTGGTGGCGGGTTTAACGACACATTTATATTTACATGACCTAACCCAAAACCTCTATTATGGATTATTTTGGTGGCGAAAGTCGAGGGGCCGTCCATAAATGACGTCACGCACCTGGGGGGGGGTCAGACATTTGTGACGATGTGTGACGAGGGGGGGGGGGGGAGAAATGTGACGTCAACAAAATGCGCAACTTTAAATAAATATAGACAACACGTTCTTCTTAATTAAATATACTTTGTAATAAATGTTTCTCCTACAACATCAGAGTGCAGCGCCACATTAAATACGCACTACAATGGCAATAGTTTAAAGCGATTTGAAGCATGTTTTATTTTTGGGGGGGGGCAGAGCTTTGTGACGTCATATTTGAGGGGGGTCTGACTTTTTGTGACGCCGTGTGACGAAGGGGGGGGGGGGGTCAAAAAACGTCCAAAATCGCGTGACGTCATTTATGGACGGCCCCCTACGTGTTAACTCGATTTGGTGAGTTGGAACACATGGTATACGGTACCATCTGTAAGCTTTCACAAATCCCCAGTACTGTGCTAGAATGCCTCCTGCTTCATGTGTAGTTGCCGAAGGTCAAATATTGGCATCTCGGATCGACGGGGGAACGCGTCAACGAAGGATGTACCGCGATTAAAATCCCCTTTTGATGTCCCAAACAGTTCCCAACGTGGGACCCAAAGTCTCCGTCGCCAACATCGCGCTCTCGTCCGTCGACGTCAATTGGACGGAGATCCCAACCAAAGAGAGGAGAGGTTTTATCACCGGCCACGTTATATACTGGGGCCAAGGTCCCGACGCGAGTCACAGTAAGTGGGCATTAGCCTTCATGTAAAGTCAAAAGGAGAAATAAGCAGACAACATACTTCCTTCACATATTTGTCCCTCAACATAAAATATAATACAGGAAAACCTTGCCCAATGCGGCCTCTTTTTATCGAACGCGTGTTTCGGCTGTACGCGGTTTACCTACTGAGGGTCTGTTTTCCGGAACATGGGGGTGATGCTTTGGGTATATGCCGTTTGACGCACCCGTTGTAAGGTGTGAATTAATTGTCTGTGAGAATAATTTATTTACCACGTATGTTTTTTGCGTGTGAGTGTGTTTTTGAGTGTGATCATGTGATTCAACATGCACAATGGCGCAACGCAAATGTTCACACATTGTCTTATGCATCTAGCTGTCCACTTGCTGAGGACGTCAGTCAAACAGGCGCCCAGATGACAAATCATCAACATTCAAGTGACAGTGTCAGGGGTAGGCATCGGGCGTGAGTGCTTCGGTGCGGGAAGAGGAATGGAGACGGGTGTTTTGTGTTGAGGTGAAATTGAAAAATAAAGAGTGTACACTCACACAAGATATGGTCAGCGACTCGACATTCTTGAGTACAATAACGAATCTTGTAGAATGTGTTATACAAAGAGGGAGAGGTAGATCATTACGTGCCCAAGTACGCAATCCTATTTTTCCCATAAGGTCGATTATGTCGAACGCCGTTTTGCCCAACACGGCATTTTCCAGGAACATAACCCCCGTGTTTGGCGAGGTCTGCCTGCATTATATTTTACACATCCGGTCAGTCACGCCCGCTTTTTGGGAGCACATGATTTCAATAGCATTAGTTCAACATGGCAAACTCTGGACCGGTTTTACATTCAAGCGTCTTATCATTAGCAGAGTCGGTTTGTTTGATCAAATGCTTACGAATTGCCAGATGTTTATAGGCGAGGACCCTCTCCACATCGAACAGTTGTAGCCCTGTACGTAAGAGAACCCAGATGTCCTCGCCCCCTGGTGCCGCGTTCTGGTAGGAGTTCTGATCCGTGGGAGCGCTTGTGCCTACACATTGAAGAACCTCTCTGCCAGCGTGGAATACTCGGTGATGGTGGCGGCCATGACAGAGGTCGGTGAGGGACCACCAGGTGCCAAGACCCACTTCAGGATGCAAGGAGTTCTGGGTGAGTACAACGTGTACAGCCAGTTCTGCTATTACGCGTGTTGTTATCATAACGCGATTTGGATATAACGCGATGAATGTATTCGGGAACGCGTTTTATAACGCGGATGCGAATTGAATGTGAACAGAACTACGTCGCGCGAGTAGGAATAAGCGGTTGTGCGGCTGCCTCGGCGTAGCATCACGCAGGGCGGGATGCTGCTGGATGCTTCTAGATGCTACTCACGCGCCTCAGTCCTTCTTCAGCCTGCATACACATCTCACGTGTTATTGCGGACTGTGCCTTACAAATGTCTTGCTTTGCATACAACTTTGTTGAATTGAATTACCATTAATGACAAGGGTATGGACGTGTTCTGATAGTAGTGCTAGTGGAAGTGAAGTAAAGAAAAGAAAAGCTAATACTCTTGAACAAAAACTCGACGTGATGAAGCGGTATGAATGAAACGAAATAAAGTATAACATTATTCTTGCAATGGGACTTACCCCTTAATTCCCATTGAATCAATGGTTATTAAAGTAAAAACTTTCCATAACGCGGTGTTCTTCAGGAACGCAACTACCACCGCATTATAGGACAACAGACTGTGGCAGGCAAACCTGCATCAGGACAAATCGATAACATCGCACCATCGTTTTCATTCAGAATGCCGTTTCTGGAAAAAAAGCTCTTTTTCAGAACAAAAATACCGACCCGAAACACAAGTGTAATCGCACGCAGGGGCGTTAAGGTGGGCAGGTGTAAAATATAGCTTCGTACCCCCATTTTGAAAATCCCTTGGGATGACATTCATTGGTGTAGCCTTAGTTGTAAAGCTACATATCACTGAATACATGCTCCTATTAATAATTTGACAACTTTTATCTGCAAATGTGATAGTCCCCCAAGAGCATTGGCACTCTAACGAGGATGGGAGACACTGTACTTGTGTCCCCTTTTAAAAGATGTTCACATTGAGATTTTTCTTTTTTTCCTTAAAAGGAAAGTAACACCATTTCTCACTCTAACATTAATCTGAGCCCAACATTGATGTACATTAGTTTAAATAATGGGCAGCCCATTTAATCAGATCATTTGGGGAACCAATTGCGTCCGTTCATGAATGGTGGTGAGATGTTATCTGCCTCGCCTGGTATGCAGGAGGTCGTGGGTTCGATCTCGACCCGAACGCCTTCTGTATATTTGAAGTTTGTATGTCGCTCTCCCCATGGTGGTGTGGATTTTTCTCCGGGTCCTCCGTTTTTTTTCCCCCCTTCACATTTAGAAACATGCGCTTCAGAGTATTTTGGCTGCGATACATTTTCACGTGATTAGCCACTTAGTTGAGCTATCGTTTATGGCCTGGTCGCTTCTAAAAAAGAGCTACATAGCTCAGTGGGCCTTACCAAGGTAACGTCATTTTTTTTAAAATAGTTTATCGAGTGCGATGGTGAGTGGGCAGGTTCCACGGCGAAGTGAAAAGGGCTGCTGCTCGACTCGTTTGCAGGGTGCAAAGGTGGTCCCGTGGAGCAGGATAGTCTCTGCAGCAACGCCACGCACGAGGTGAGAAAACGCAAACTTCGCAAGGCCGATGTCGGTGACGTGAGACGAGCGCCGTAAATGGCTGCGCTTTAACAAAACCCGACAATGGGGATCTCGGTTGGGAAGCCTCGGTGGCTCGCCGTGCGCCACGCTTGACCACGCTCCCCCCCCGTTAAGCGCAAGGGGACAGCAAGGGAGCCGCGCAGGGCGGCTCGAGACGTTCCTAGCGCTACTCTCAGGATCGTCGATAAAAGTTACCTTTGGTCTGGTCGTTGGCGTTGATACGGCATCTCGTGACTCCTAAACGAGGTCTGGTGTGAATTCCTTCATCGTGCAGCGACAATTCCTGAATACTCCGTGAAGGTATTTCTCTGATTTGTATTAAATTAATTGTTGGTAACAGTAATATGCTACGGCTGCAATTAACGGTATCAGTGATGACCTCATTTACATCTTGATGTAATTCCGTCAATCGGAGCCGAGGAAAAGTGCACTCTGTCTGTTTGTGCGCTTCTGCGCTTACTGGATGTTGGCACAACCCTCTGGTTTTCTGTAGGAGGAGTCCGTCATCGCAACACAACTTTACACTCGAGTTTAGTTCATATCGAGTGATAGTGGACCCCATGTTACAGACATAGCTAATGCCTTGATACCCTTAACCTCGGTTGGAAAGCGTTGCAGTTTACGATAATGACTACAAGAACGAATATAGAATAGTCATAATTACAATTGCAAATTTACGAGAGGAATACTTCCTTCAGCATTTCACTACAGAAACACTGTCATTTGCTTATCACAGCAATAACAGCAGTCGTGACATCTCTAGCAATGGATTACGATTGTAATTACTATACCGTAATTACAGTTTACCACAGTTATAATTGCCCGAGACCAATTGGCTTGGAAAATATCACGTGATTTCGTCACAGTGCTTGGATGGGTGACCCGCATGTACAAAAGAGAGGTGCATTGTGGACAGTAGAGGACAGTGCAGAAAATCCACCTTCAACCCACACTGACCAATATGGTGAAGTATGGTCAAATAACTCTTGACGACCCACGTGGCGTTGGGGGGAATGTCCCCATCCAGCAGTGGATTGACAAACGGGCTGTACTTTACAGAGCAGTAATTACACGGCCCAGCTGCAAAGCGTTCGCTGCTCGATGCAGAGGTTCAAGGATCGAGTCCAGCGGCCGCCCTGGTTAATACCGCGGTGTGGAATAACCGTCAAAAGATCCCCTGACGTAATTTTCGAGCTTAGACCGTTATGTGCCGGCAATTATCTGGCTTGACCACCTGAATGTCAAATTGTAGTTGTTGCTCTGCATCTACATCAGCCATAGGAAAAAATAACGGTTCAAATTGATAAATTTTAAAATGACACCGCAAATTACTCAATTCGGATTTGACATAGCGTTCAGCGCACCCTTCTGGCAGACTAATGCCCCAGGTCAGTCTTGCAAATGAGACTCATCCTGGTCTCTTGAGTTCTTAACTGGCTCAGAAAAATAATCTTAAAACTGTAATTCGTTGCTGGTCCATCGCCATCAGCGTACACACATGCAATCATGGTATCGTGAATTGCCCTTAATGTGCACGTCTATTTGGAGACTTTTAAGATAAAGCTGTAAACATTTGATCGTTTAGAACATCCCCATAGTGTGGTACGTGTGGCTACGGACGAGATATGGACACGGGGTAGGGTTCCCACCTTCCTGGGGTCATATCTCCTGGATTTTACCTGGACAGTCTAGGGAATGGGCATCTGTGGTCCGGGTGGCAGGAATCGATTTGTGCCGATAACCGGTACCAGTGTGGTGGTAAACTTTTATGACAGAGATCACAGTGTTGATAGATTTAGGCTGACTGAAAAATGTCTGCAGTGGAACAGGTGGCAGCCCCAATACAGAGACATATATACATCCATATGACTAAAACGGTTAGTTATCTCCGATAAGAGGCAATACAAAAAAACACAATACATCAGTACACGGTGTGATAACTTGGGCAATCTTGTGAGGTTCCGGGACTGTAATCGCAAAAAGATCTGCTCGTAACTGATGTCAGCCCCGTGCACACCAACACACGCCTCGCACGCACAACGTGACAGGGAGGAAAGATCACGAGGGTAAGCACAGCTCCCGTAACGCTCTACAACACCCGCTTGTTCCCGGAAGTATTTAATAAGCAGTAATAACGTTACGTTTCAAGCCGCACAACAAGCTGTTACGCGAGGTGAGATGACGCGTGAATGACGTTCGATGCCGCTGTAGGGACGTCGCACGGAATTACTTTTGGCTCTTGGGCGTAACTGGAGGCAGTTACGTCCAAGAACCAATGTGGGTATCCACGCCGCAGCTTCTGCTCCCCGCTCTTTGAAAGCCAGGGGTTGTGACTCACGGGTTGAGAGCCACACGCCTGTACAAGGAAGGTATCATCACGATCCATGGGCAGATAGCCCGTAGGTGTCCACTGCACATTTTTTTCATTTGTTTCTACTTTCCTCCGTCTTGTGCCAATATGCTCAAGTGGTGCCACATCTTTCCGACACCAATCTCTGATGTCGTCTTCAAGCTATTCTCTGTTAGGTCTTCCTCTCTTTCCGGTTCCTTCCATTTTTCCGCACGCACTCTAAATGTTCCTGTTGTTGTCCATCCTACGTACGTGTCCAAATAGTGCCAGTTTTTTTCTCATCACTCCCTGCATCATCAGGTCTTCATCTATGCGCAACCTTTTGTTCAAGTACGGTATGCAGAAACCAAAATTAGAGGTGAACGTTGAGAAAAGGAAACTGAAAATTCGAGTGGCCTGGCCGCCCGTACTCTGGGTCTCGTGCGTGAACGGGATCGTAAGGGCGGCGTCCCTCGCGAGCTGGATGTACAGGGAAACGAAAAGGCCTCGAACGGGGTCCGGAGGAGGGATGCTTTTGGTGCGTGTGGGAATCGTGGTCGCGTACAGAAGAAGAAGAAGACGACTGCCACAATGCGGCACTCGGGACGGGGACGCGCGCGTGCTCGCGGGGACGCCGAGGCGTCGCTCGCCGTGTGCGCCGCGTACAGTCGCGTGCTGCGCAAGGACGGGCGCGCCCTCGAGCAAATTCGCCTGCGCCTGGAGCTCAAGCAGACGACGTCGTCTGTTGGGCAGGTCAGCTTGAAGGCAGCGCGCACGCACAACGCTACAAGGATACGTGCGGAACGTTCCCTTTCCACAAATGTTTAAAGTTGTTATTCATGGCGAAGTTTCGCCCGGACAATGCCTTGTCATGGAATGTCTTGTTGACAACGGCGTCCGCGTGTCAGCTGACATGCGCCTGATCAATTCTGGTGAAAAGCATGCCATTGGCACTTAAAGGGGCAACCAAAACACGCAGATATTATTTTGTTAACGGATACATTTCTTGACATATAATTATCAGAACGAATTCGTGCTGTTGTAACAGATTGCATTTATTTCCAGAGGAAGATAAATAATCATGTAATACTGCACTGTTATTTTTGCTCTTGTGTAATAATATATTTCATTTAAATGATGGCTACAAGGCATGAATGTGGGAAGCTGCCGTGACACTTTTTTAACTACTCGCACTATTCAAGCATTTCTACAATGAATTGGGCATCTGATGTAGCATTCGATTGAGAGCTTTGAATTTGTACTTATCGGCGCATGGAAAGCAGTCATATTGATGCCTTTAAGTGCCCCTCTGATCCGCACGCTCTTCTTTCTGTCTCTCAGTGTAATTCGAAACATGCAACTTTCCACGCTTAAGCTTTAACAAACTTTCAACTATTTGCACTTTTAATTTTCTTCGTGAATATTGTCCACGTTTCTGATTCATGTAATGGACCGGTGATATCGCTATTTAAAAAAAGAGGACAAAAACATTGGAAAGCGTGAGAGAACCAATGGATATGCATATTTTTTGTTCCTTATTCTTATGGCAGTTCCCCAAGCGGGACTCTGTTTGATGAGGGTCCTAGTTAGTTTGGTTGTTGCATTGCTTACTAGGCAGCTACTGCACGTGGTGCATGTAATAATACAACATGTGGTAGACAATGATTCCCCGAACTAAACTCGTGCCTTCTCACCATAGACGTTCAAGAGACTGCGTGGTCAACGCAAACACATTTTATTAAACCTGCAGACCAGAAATAAGAAGCGGAAAAGCCTGCGACGCAAGTTCTTGACGGACGTCCTCCAAGCGCTGTCGTCAGACCGAGCAGTCTCGTCCACTCCAGCTATTATAGAGGAGCTGGACAGGATGTTTGGCCTGTGGCCTCACGTGAGCCCTGCCCAGCCCGATGCCGATTCGCCGTGGCCAAGGGCCTTACGTGAGAGGAACAAGGGCTGTCTTTCCGGTAAGAGATTATTAATGTACTGTATGCATGTTGAACGTCTTTAATACCGTACGTAGCCAACCGTGCAAATTGAAGGTGCGGGGGGAAGGACAACAAAGGGGTGGCCGGGAAATCTGGGAAGTGATGACCGTGTCTATGGACTAATCCAGCGCTGTTGGTATCCTGAGCTGAAGTCTGGTATGAATTAATTTGCAAGAACCATAAATGTAATATGTGAACGCACAGTGACATGGGTGGCTGGGTTGGCATTTTGTGAAAAACAAAACGCGTTCATCAGTTACCTGCGTGTTTCTATTGGCAGAAAAATATACGTGAACTATTCGTTGGGAAGTATTGAGCAACAGCAAATATTGATCAAATTATGCCGCTATTCCATCAACGTTGAAAAAATAATCTGAATTGAAGTGGATCTGGGTATGGAATTGGACCGAGTTCTATGTGTGTGTGCAAGCGTCTCCTCTCCGTTTGTCCCGCAGGTTCAAGGGATTTGCCCCTGCACACTCGGCAGTGCGAGACCGTGAAGGGACGGCGCAGCTGGCAACTCTCGCGTCTGGCACGCCTCCTGCCGTTGAGGCGGAGGTGGTTTGGAGGGAGGTGTTCGAAACAGAGTCGTGCGGGAACGTGCGCCCCTCTCTGCGTCACTCAGCGGAGGGTCTCGCTGGGGCAGGGGAGATGCGGAAGGCGCGCTGGGCGGCCGATTCAAATAAAATTCACCCTCTGCTTTTCTTAACCCTTTCCCATTCATCAGTTTTTCTTCCAATTCGGAATCTAAGTTGGAAGAAAAAAAATCAAATAACTTTAATGGTACCGAACCTCCCACAAGGCCATGCGGGAAGGTATGTGGCACAGTTTGGCACTAGCTATCATCGAGTGCAGTCGTGTTGCTACAGTTCTCTGCGGTGAGGCCAATGTCTTTAAAAACAACGGCGCTACGCCTCTCTAAACAAATGTTATGCTGAGCCGCTTGCGTGTTCCGAGATTCGGTGGTGAACGGGACCCAGCCTGCAACTTGCAGTCATCTCGGAACGGGAAAGGGTTAAGCAGGCGAGGACCCGTGAATAAACATTGCAAAGGAGATAATTATGATGAGATTGTTACTTGGTTGCAGTTACCAAATAGTTTTTTAGTGTGGATAGGGGTCATTTCCTCATTTGGAGTCTGCACTTTCACATGGCATGTCATGGTTTCCTCCAGCGAATGACAGGTTCTGGTTTTTGGCTGCACGGAAAAAAGGCTTTCCAGCTGCGCTTTGTGTCGACAGACTCAACGTCAAACAGAATTGCTGACAAGTTACCCGGCCATTCGATAGGAACAAAACCTGCGCCCTCCGTCCATCGTGTACCCACAAATGCCTTGCATGTACAGTGAGGGAAAAAAAAGTATTTGAACCCCTGCTGATTTTGTACGTTTGCCCACTGACAAAGAAATGATCAGTCTATAATTTTAATGGTAGGTGTATTTGAACAGTGAGAGACAGAATAACAACAACAAAATTCAGAAAAACGCATGTCAAAAATGTTAGAAATTGATTTGCATTTTAATGAGGGAAATAAGTATTTGACCCCTCTGCAAAACATGACAGTACTTGGTGGCAAAACCCTTGTTGGCAATCACAGAGGTCAGACGTTTCTTGTAGTTGGCCACCAGGTTTGCACACATCTCAGGAGGGATTTTGTCCCACTCCTCTTTGCAGATCTTCTCCAAGTCATTAAGGTTTTGAGGCTGACGTTTGGCAACTCGAACATTCAGCTCCCTCCACAGATTTTCTATGGGATTAAGGTCTGGAGACTGGCTAGGCCACTCCAGGACCTTAATGTGCTTCTTCTTGAGCCACTCCTTTGTTGCCTCGCCCATGTGTTTTGGGTCTTTGTCATGCTGGAATACCCATCCACGACCCATTTTCAATGCCCTGGCTGAGGGAAGGATGTTCTCACCCAAGATTTGACGGAACATGGCCCTGTCCATCGTCCCTTTGATGCGGTGAAGTTATCCTGTCCCCCTAGCAGAAAAACACCTCCAAAGCATGTTTCCACCTCCATGTTTGACGATGGGGATGGTGTTCTTGGGGTCATAGGCAGCATTACTCCTCCTCCAAACACGGCGAGTTGAGTTGATGCCAAAGAGCTCCATTTTGGTCTCATCTGACCACAACACTTTCACCCAGTTGTCCTCTGAATCATTCAGATGTTCATTGGCAGACTTCAGACGGGCATGTATATGTGCAGGATTTCAGTCCTTCACGGCGTAGTGTGTTACCAATTGTTTTCTTGGTGACTATGGTCCCAGCTGCCTTGAGATCATTGACAAGATCCTCCCGTGTAGTTCTGGGCTGATTCCTCACCGTTCTCATGATCATTGCAACTCCACGAGGTGAGATCTTGCATGGAGCCCCAGGCCGAGGGAGATTGACAGTTCTTTTGTGTTTCTTCCATTTGCGAATAATCGCACCAACTGTTGTCACCTTCTCACCAAGCTGCTTGGCAATGGTCTTGTACCCCATTCCAGCCTTGTGTAGGTCTACAATCTTGTCCCTGACATCCTTGGAGAGCTCTTTGGTCTTGGCCATGGTGGAGAGTTTGGAATCTGATTGATTGCTTCTGTGGACAGGTGTCTTTTATACAGGTAACAAGCTGAGATTAGGAGCACTCCCTTTAAGAGTTTGCTCCTAATCTCAGCTCGTTACCTGTATAAAAGACACGTGGGAGCCAGAAATCTTTCTGATTGAGAGGGGGTCAAATACTTATTTCCCTCATTAAAATGCAAATCAATTTATAACATTTTTGACATGCGTTTTTCCGGATTTTGTTGTTGTTATTCTGTCTCTCACTATTCAAATAAACCTACCATTAAATTTATAGACTGATCATTTCTTTGTCAGTGGGCAAACGTACAAAATCAGCAGGGGATCAAATACTTTTTTCCCTCACTGTATGTGTGTTTGTATTGTATCTTAATGGGTGCTCTCACTGTGTGCAAATTAACAGTCATTTACCGTGCTTCCACAAATCAGTTGCCCGCTACCACCTGTTTCCATGAGCCACTGCGGTGAGATGTTAACTCCCTTGCCTGGTATACAGGAGGTCGCTGCTTCGATCTCGACCGTGACGCCTGTATATTTGGAGTTTGCGTGTTCTCCCTGTGGTTGGGTGCATTATTCTCCGGGTCCTCCGGTTTTTCCCTCCACATTTAGAAACATGTGTTTAAGAGTATTTGGCCGCTATAAATTTCCACATAAACCACTTCGTTGAGCTATCATTTTCAGGCCATGTCGCTTCTGAAAAAGAGCTAAATATCTAAGTGGGCCTTTACCTGGTAAAATAAAAAAAAACTGTTTAGTTTTCAGGCATAACGAGTCTGCACCGGGCTGGAGCCATACTTTTGCAGATTTCTCCCAGAGATGTCACGTCAACCAAAAAAATGCATAGATGACCGGAATACATTTTTTTTGCTAGATTTCTGCTGTACACAATATCAAAGGCCCGCTGCAGAACGTCGGGCGGCAAAAAACAACCGCACGCGAATATCCATCAGGCCCATGTACCCGATGTGTCTGGATCGAGGTGGGGGGGACACACAGAGAACCCCGGGAAGGGGGGAGAGAAACTATTGTCTCATTTACATGGGAAAATCGCGCCAGGGCCGGAATTAAATTTAAATCCGTGGTAGCCACCTCCCCAACTCAGGCGACAACTTGGGTGACTGGAAGTTCATGGAAATGCCACTTCTCTTTTTTATAACCAATGCTAGTTGACGGACAATTCGAGTAATACGAAGCATCGGGCCAACTCGATTTTGCTGTCTATGGAAACGAGCTATTTTATGTACTCAGCACTTAGCACTTGTACCACAAGCAAACATGAGCCGAGGGAGTGCTTGGAGGAGCAGGAATCATCAGAAATTACTCATCATTATCTTCGGAATACGCAGTAATTTTCCAATCAGTAACATTTAAACGTATGCCTTTTGAAAAATTTAACGCCTGCACGATTCTGATGCTGTTAAATTGAAACTTAGTACGAAAATCGCATGTCTTTGATCCTATTTGTATTGAATCCCCCCTTGCTGAATGAACATTGTCTCTCTGCCAGAGGTGGTGGAATGGAATGATTTG